GAATTTTGTCATGAATTCTTGTCTGTAATGTACAGTCGAACCTCGTTGTGTCGAGGTCGAAGGGACCGGACCAAAGTATTCGACTCATCATTTAGGTTCGACTCATCCGAGGTCGAGTGTGTCGTCATAAATTTGGAATGCATGAACTACCGTATGGGATTTGTGTAAACTAGATACAATGAACAGTGTGCCTTTTTTCGATATGACACTTTATGATTGTGTATTCAATCTCCATTTTTGGTCCTTCGTAATAATTAAACACACAAGTACAGATACAAATCATGCACAAATAAAATCAATAGTCTACACAAATATTTACAAATGTCAGTCACTTTAAATTATGAAATCCCTCGCGGCACGAAATAAGTTCTGAACGATCTCTGATGAGGTCGTCTGCTTTACATTAAATTATCATGAATACATTATAATTGTCCTAATCCTTTTATTTATTGTAATTAATGAGTTTTAAATCTAACGTTTCATTTAATCTCGGCTTGGGTCATTTAAATTCGTTTCGTTTTTATCTCAGGTGAAAAATGTTCAACAACTCTAACATTCCGCTTGAACGATCAACAAAGGTGTTAATTAGAGGTCTTCATAAACATGTCATTTTAACTGTTATACAAACAAGTATGTTTACTCAGCTTTAATCTCTTTTGAAAATGATTAGGTGACATAAGAAATACATCCGATTTGAATTTTTATCATTAGGCCTGCATCTTTCGAAAATTCTTACTTTCGAACTTCGAGACATCGGAGTCAATTTACATTAATTTTACTTCGACAGGACTATAAAATTTACTCGACTTAACCGAGTATTCGAATCAACCAAGTTCGACTCATCAGAGGTAATTATGCATTGATCAAACGGGAATTTTACCGGGACCGAGAAATTACTTAGACTCATCCGAGTTTTCCACACAACCGAGTTCGACACAAACAGGTTCTACTGTATGTCCTTTGTTTAATATGCACATAGACCAAGGTGAGCGACACAGGCTCTTTAGAGCCTTTAGTTTCTTTACTTGTCTCTAGAACTTCAAACTCTATGTTTAAGACTGTGTAAATGTAAACTAACTAACGACAAATTTGTTGAGTTGAATTTATTTACGTAACTCATTGAAATTACAGATAGACGACTATAGATAAAAAGCGCAAATGTCTGGTCAATTTAACACAGGTGTATCAAAATTTAAAGTGCAAATGTCCATAGTGTTTGGAGCACAAATGTCTTATCGTCTTACAGGTAAAAAAGCACAAACGTCCTGTGCCCATTTTATTTCACTAAAGCCCTCACATGGGGTACAACATTTTATCAAACAATAAAAGTGTGAACATATTTACATTAGAACAACATGGTAAACAAAGGTGCAATAATAGTATATATAATGAATACTGATATGTGACAGGAAGTACAAATTATAGTAACATGATTAAGCACATGTTTTTAAAGGTTTTAATATCACTTTTGCAAAATTTTGCTATTCCAGTAGTGTAAATAAATCTTATGTATTCATCAGTTCTTTAAATTATAAAACACTTGGGTTATTACATATATTTAAAGGTAAAAATTTAGCTCTTACATTGTTGAAAAAGGTACATTTGAATAAGTAATGAAACTCATCACCAAATTCATTAGCATTACAGAGATAACAATGTCTTTCAGTTCTATCAATATTAAAAAATCTGCCAGTTTCAATGGGCAATTTATTACTAAGGCAAATGAATTGGAGTTACTCCCCCTTTTTTGCTACTTTTTCACAGTATACTGATGTTTCTTAGTAAAAAGATTAAATCTAAGGCAAATTGAATGCAAAGATATATAAAAATAATACTTCAATGATTTTTACTTTCTTAGGACAATTAAAAAATTAGTATTTTGAAAATATTTTTTTTTCATCTCTACTTCTTTTAAATGCTTAAATTTCAAATTATATGATCCCATTTAAACATCAAAGAATGAAATTTGTAGGAAAGCTTTACAGGTTGCAAAGTTGTAACTAACCATTTAACATATGGTTTATGGGACAATTCAATACAGTTAGAATAAAACAACAATAGGGGGGGGGGGGGGGGTATGGCTTGAATAAATATAGTAGGATAAATAAATTATTCAATGGCTAATGAATGCAATGAAATAATTAATTTAAAGTTTTGAATTATTTTCAGTAAATACTTAACCATGTGAACATGTTTTGGAAACTGTTCGAATTAAAATATAAAAAATGTCCCCTAAATACTTTAATTCAGCTGAAAAAAGTTTGTACGTGTTATGACCTGAGATTTCTCCTTTAATTATGACTTGCATTTTCATCTTCAGAGGTTGACAGGTATGAAATAAGTCGACATGGTCGAAACCGTTAGTCCACTCGATAATGGAGTTCATGCTCTTTAATGACGATTTTTACCAATTTTTGGTGTTTTTGCCTTTTATCTTGAAAACTATAAAAGAAAGATAGAAACTTTAAATAACAAAAATGATCAGCAAGACAAGATCTACAAGCAAGTCAAATTTTGCTGAAATAGTAGACTCTTTACAGAATGATTGTACTTAGGCCACACCAATTTGATGAATAGTTCTTCTGACAAAAGCTACAAAAAGTATGGGGCGAGCTAGCGAAATTTTTTTGTTTTTATATATTTCTTGAAAATAAGTTTTTTTGAGGTGAGTGCTCTACAAGTGAAGCGAGCGGTATAATTTAAAAAAAAAATTATGTGATTTAGATGTTGTACAATTTATGTACATGTTATAACTGGGTTATTTCATAGAAAAAAGAGGAGCAACAGTACCATATCAGACTTTCTTGTCTCACTGCGGTTATTTTCTTCAAATAAGCTTTGTCTGGGTGAATTTTCATTTAAATCCATATATATATTTAGGAAGCATAGCAGATGCAGTTTTACAAGAGGAAGTTTGTTAGTTTTGTAAATGACACATGTTGAATAAAATTAAAATATGTGTACTGGTATGTATCCAAAAAAATGCCCCTGAAAGATATTTGATAGTTGTTTTCATTGTATGGTAATGATTGTTTATTGTTGTAGTTTAGTGTTTCTGTTGTTCCGTTGTTTTCCTCTTATAGTTGATGTGTTGCCCTCGGTTTTATTTTGTTATCCGGATTGGTTTTTGCTTAATCGAATTATGACTATTGAACAGCGGTAAACTACTGTTGCCTTTATTTATTGGCTGCTTGACATCCAGTTGGAACTATTTATGCATATTTAGGATCAAAATAATGAGTGAGGTGAATATTTCTTGCTTTGTACTAAAACAACATCCTGAGTAAGATCGTTATATTGCTATACATGTAGATCCAAATGTATTAAAATATTCCCTTTAAATACCTGTCACCCCATTCACATGAATTTTTCTTACTGAGCAAAATACTTTTTCCTTTTCCTCCTAAAAGCTGTAATGCATTTAATACTCTTTAGCTTGACTAGAAGTGGTTGAACCAATTACACACCCCTAATTATTATGAGCATGCCAGTCACAATACAGAATCACCTTGGTCTCGTTGGAACTCTTTAAATTCTCTACGAAATAAGAGTTCTGCTTGCATGCCAAAAGACTAACAAGGGGATATTGGGTTTCATCAACATCAATTACTTCTGTGATTTTTATAAAGTTCATGGGAGTTTACAATTCATTTCATCCAAAAGATAGATAGGTCTATGACTGTTGAAACAAGGATCGGGGGAGACGATGGTTCTAAAAAATATTGATGTGTTTGCGGTCATCTAACGAGAAATTTTAATTTTTGCATCGTAGAACAGGTCTTAAAAGGTAAAACGAGAGGCATTTCGGATAACTGTGTGTTCAATAACTACCTGTCCACGGCAATGAACTGACACAACTGCATGTTGGCATCCAGATTTTTGACCTTTTATTTACAAATTGATTTATCACACGTGCGTTTGAATCGATCGGAGCAATGTATGCAATAGAAAAACGTCTGTGTGAAACAAAAATTTCAAGGAGAAACTAATTTTGGAGCGGAATGTGGATGAAAAATTTGCGGAAGCGGTAATTATTTTTTTTATTGAAAAGTCAATTTCTCCAAAACAGGAGTGGGAAAATCCAAAGAACTACAAATTAAATTGGTGTGGCCTTAGATGACGATTTTTTTACTTTTTTCTGTGTTATGGGCAAAAACTTAAGAAGATAGAGAGAAACTGTAAACAAAATAAAAATGATCAGCAATACAAGATTGACTTGAAAGAAATTTTTGTCACAAATTATATTCTAGTCTACAATGTTGTAGAGTGTCAATTGTTGAAGATGCACCTAGACCTAGGCAAGTGACACAGGCTCAGTCTTTAGAGCCTCTAGTTTTATCCTCCTGTCAATTTTATGATATGAAAATTGTCTATGCTAGGGTAAAAGTCTATTAAAGAAAAGGGTCTAAACCCTTGCATTTCTTTTTAATCATATAAAAGTGAAAATGTACATTGTCTGCTTCATCCAACCATCAAGCGAACAAAATTTAAAATTGCAGGTTATTACAAGAAATTACTGTTCAACTGTTTTGGAAACCCTTACTGGCATATCTGTTTTTCCCTACAACTATACATGGTAAATTTTAACCAAATTATAATAATGTATGGAAAGTCCTCCATATGAAATGGTCGTTAGTAGCAGTTCTTATTTTCTAAAACCATTTGAAAACTGATCACTGGTACCAGTACATATTTTTCAAGAAACAACCTATGAGGGGTTGGACAGAGGGTCCATGATTCCCACTTCCCTCTCCCCCAACTCCCACTTCCCTCTCCCCAAACTCCCATTTCCCTCCCTTTCTCCCAATTGAAAGTCTGTCAATTTACAGCATATCCCTATTTCCCCCCTCCCCCCTCATTACCATGTTCCCTTAACCCTTTTCAACCCATCACTCATAAATGCTTTTTTTTTCTATGATACGCATCATCAGATTTTCTTGAAATTTAGGTTTTTTTAAATACTTTACAGGAAATGAATATTATTTTTATATATTTTACAGATATCTCTTCCAATTATTGAGAGCTCTGTTAAAGGTGACGTCCTTCATTGTTCAGTGCGAAGACCAATCACATCTCATAACAACAAAGTTTTTGATTTAACAAAACCATGGTATTTGCTTATTGCCCATGGACCTATTCTGAATAGAAGAGGTAAATTATCCTCAAAAGATCTGTTTACATAAATGAACAATAGGAGATACAAGGTATATGTCAATGATCACAGCAACTCAACAACACAAATGTTGATGGTGATGGTCTGTTTGCTCTGTCTTGTCTTTATTTTTTAAGATAGTTCACTGATGAATGTTTGTAGTAACGTCATTAAAAAATTAATTAATCAGGAATTTCAGTAATATAAATTGATTAAAACTTATAATTTAAAACACTTCTAGATTTTTTTGAGAATATGATATTTCTCACACATTCACAAATGTCAGAACCAAACGGTCATGTCAGGTTTATAGATTACTTTATGGGAGGTCAGAGTATTTTAAAAGTTGATAAAAGCTGTTAGCTGTAACAACATAAACCAATTTTTTTTTTCAGATTGAAAATTTTAAGATAAGACTAGTAAAGGCTCTAATAGAACATTAGTTCCTTGATTTAGACCTCAGGCTTTAGAAATTGACTGGTATTTCTTATTTTTTTAACACTATATATATTTTAGGTCGAGAACTAAAGGCTGATTATCACACATTCAGAACTCAAACTGACAAGAGGGTAACTTTTCTTACAGTTCAGAAAAATGTAAGTTAAGCTATTGCATAATTGTTTGAAGAATTCATGTAATACTTAATATATTTAACATGAAATCATTACAAACATATGATGACTAATTTAAGATCTCATTATTAAAGCCTGTGATTATCAATCAACCTAAGCCTATTTTGATTAATATTCTCCCTAGCATTGTGTTGTTAAATAAAATTGAGAATGGAAATGGGGAATGTGTCAAAGAGACAACAACCCGACCACAGAACAGACAACAGCAGAAGGCCACCAACAGGTCTTCAATGCAGCGAGAAATTCCCGCACCCGGAGGCGTCCCTCAGCTGGCCCCTAAACAAATATATATACTAGTTCAGTGATAATGAACGCCATACTAAACTCCAAATTGTACACAAGAAACTAAAATTAAAAATAATACAAGACTAACAAAGGCTAGAGGCTCCTGACTTGGGACAGGCGCAAAAATGCGGCGGGGTTAAACATGTTTATGAGATCTCAACCCTCCCCCTATACTTCTAGCCAATGTAGAAAAGTAAACGCATAACAATACGCACATTAAAATTCAGTTCAAGAGAAGTCCGAGTCTGATGTCAGAAGATGTAACCAAAGAAAATAAACAAAATGACAATAATACATAAATAACAACAGACTACTAGCAGTTAACTGACATGCCAGCTCCAGACTTCAATTAAACTGATTGAAAGATTATGTCTTCATCATATGAAAGGTCATATTTGTATATGCTTTCAAGACTTCATACCTATATTAATGTTATTTTACTAATGTTAATGTATGGAGAAGACCCTTATCCATTTTGGAGTCACAGATAATATAAATTCTCAAATTTGATTTCCTCATTTTATCTTTTGAATCATATGTTAAACTTTTACCAATGGGTAATGCCCCATGAGATGACAAGTACCGTCTTTGATTTTCATGTTATTAGGTTAAAGGTTTATGTTACAGAGAAGCGAAAGTTACCAAAGGGACATTCAATCAAAAATAAACTGACACCGCATGGCTAAAAAAGAAAAAGACCAACAGACAAACAACAGTACACAAAACACAACATAGAAAACTAAAGACTGAGCAACACAAACCCCACCAAAACATCAGCAGTTGGGAAACTGAAATTCAGGCAAATAATTGTTTTTTGGATGTTATCTTTTGAACCATTTGTCCAACATTCACCATACTTAGCTGGAGAATAGCATTTGGACAGAAAGAGACTATAAATATTTTAGTCATTAGGTGAGGTCACATATATAAAAAAGATACTGAAAGTTTGAGAACATTTTTTTTTCTTTCAAGAAAATGTATTTTGAGCCATAATTTGATCTTTCCCTATCTTGGGTGGATAATGCACCTTGTGGTAAAAAATACTACTTTTAATTTTTGGGTCAAAGGTAAAGCTTACATATATATATATATATACTATATATATACTATATATATATACTAAAATTTTGTCTCATATAAAGGATCAGTGATCTTTTTTGTTTCCTTCTTCATATACTATAAGCAATATGTAAAATATATATAATTGGTTTATGAGATGTTTGTAAGGTGTACATGTCTGTATGATGGGTTCATCTGACCATGACCTACTTTTCATAGTTCATTGATTTTTCTTGGGAACAACAAATGAAATTTGGAATCAAGCTTTTTATGATTATGCTATACATTGTTTTCACATCCATTGCTCATCAACTTCCTGTTTATCGAATAATGAAAGAAGGGGTGTCCTTTGTTAGCAATATAGGACAAACTGTTTAAGATTGTTTTAATTCAGATATTAAGGTTGAAACAGTTTACTTGTCTGCTGTATAGTTAACAATTCTCAACTATAAGCAATTAGTTGAAATACAATCTCATACATAATGAAAGAACCTTTGTTGTGTGGGGTATAAAAATTAGGAAATGTGGTATGATTGCCAATTAGTCAACTAACCACCAGAGATCAAAGGACTTGGATATAAGCGACTATTGCTCATCGTACAGTCTTCAACAATGAGCAATACCCATACTGTATAGTAAGCTATAAAAGGTCCTGGCATTACAAAAACAGACCCAGTTCAATCAAGAAAACAAATAGCCTGATTTAAGCTGAAACAATAAACAAAACAAAAATATATATGGCAGACGGCAACCAAGAACAACCACTGAATTACAGGCTCCAGACTATGGGCAGACACATAAAAAATGTGGTGAGGTTAAAAATATTTTTGAGTGCTCAACCCTCCCCTAAGCTGGGACAATGATGTAACAGTAAAACATATTATTACATTGGTTGCAATGAATTACTGTGATTTCCCAGTGAAATAAAAACGGATAATTTCACATGTGAAATAAACTCAGTTATTTCACTCCTCTGACATCATACAATAATAGGTGTTGTCAAAACGTTGTCGGTGACGTCGCATCAAAACAAATTGTCAGTGCGTAGAAAAAGATATAGTTCCTTACATTTTCTACTTTAATTAGGGCCCCGCCGAATGGCAGACGCCCTATAGTGACCAGTCTGTCCGTCCGTCGTACCGTCTGTCCCTCCGTCTATATCTAGAGAACCTTTATGATTTCAAAGTTTATACTTGACATGTATATTAACCAACACCAGAGGGTGTGTCATAATGTATGTACAACTTCCTAGGTCAAAGCCAGGTCAAGGTAAAAAACTTTGGTTTTAGTTGACAACCCCATGTCCTATGGTAAAGATCGTGTCTGCTCTATATCTTGAGAACCGTTATGATTTCAAAGTTTATACTTGACAAGTATATAAACCAACACAGAGGGTGTGTCATAATGTATGTACAACTTCCTAGGTCAAAGGTCAAGGTCATAAACTTCAGTTTCAGTTGACAACCCCATGTCCAATGATAAAGATACAAATTTTTTACCACACATTATTCACAGCGGGGCCCACAGAGATGGCTTCTATCTCAATGATATCTAGTTAGGGCCCCGCCGAATGGCGGACGCCTTATAGTGATCAGTCTGTCCTTCTGTCTGTCTGTCCGTCTGTCCATCCGTCTGTCTGTCCGTCTGTCCATCCGTCTGTCTGTCAGTCCGTCTGTCCATCCGTCCGTCTGTGTGTCCGTCAGTCAGTCCGTCTGTCCATCCGTAACAAATTGTGTCCGCTCTATATCTAGAGAACCGTTATGATTTCAAGGTTAATACTTGACATGTATATTAACCAACACCAGAGGGTGTGTCATAATGTATGTACAACTTCCTATGTCAAAGGTCAAGGTCATAAACTTTGGTTTTAGTTGACAACCCCATGTCCTATTGTAAAGATCGTGACTACTCTATATCTTGAGAACCGTTATGATTTCAAAGTTTATACTTGACATGTATATAAACCAACACCAGAGGGTGTGTCATAATGTATGTACAACTTCCTAGGTCAAAGGTAAGGTCAAAAACTTTGGTTTTAGTTGACAACCCTATGTCCTATGGTAAAGATCGTGTCTGCTCTATATCTTGAGAACCTAATGATTTCAAAGTTTATACTTGACAAGTATATAAACCAACAACACAGGGTGTGTCATAATGTATGTACAACTTCCTAGGTCAAAGGTCAAGGTCATGAACTTCAGTTTCAGTTGACAACCCCATGTCCAATGATAAAGATACAATTTTTTTACCACACATTATTCACAGGGGGGCCCAAAGAGATGGCTCCCATCTCAATGATATCTAGTTCAATTAAAAAGCCCATTGTCAATGTAATAAAAAGAATAACAAATCTAAGAATTTAAACATAGAAAAATATTCAACTCATGACCGAACAACACTGATAATTAACTCATGTGCTATGCACATTCGTGAATTAATGTGTTGTTTGGTCACTCGTAGAATATTTTTCTATATTTGAATTCTTCGATTAGCTATTCTATAAAAATCAAACTGTAAAAATCATTTGGAAAGAGCTTGACTCAACAGATCAGCACAAAGCAAAAAAAATAACTAAAAAAACCCAGCAAATGACACAAAGTACGGATTTAAAAGTACTTGCATTCATTGAAAGCTAGTTCAAAGCCAATTACAACTGATAAATAAATCACTTTTTCCCAAACTTAAATATCAATCGGTACACATCCAACTGATAAAACATAGAAAAGTCATATACAGTTTGAGAAAAGCATAACCTTGTGCAATGCTAAAATACAAGTATATATTTTATGACTGGAAAGTGTACCTGTGATTGGGAAAATCATCTTGCTTAAAAAATGTAGTTCTGACCACTGAGTATTTGTCTAATGAAATAAGTAGGTCACTTCTCTGGAATTAAAAAAAAAACAACAAATAGATCAGCAGCCGACAATGTAACCATAATAGTGGATCTCACATTATTTTTTATCTTTTTGAAGTGTTTTAGATATAATATATTTAAACCTTATTATTGCTGACTTCTTATAGAATTACATTTGGCTTTCATATACATTTTGTAGAGAAAAGTACCTGTAAAAATAAATCCTGACAGTGAATGTGGTCTTTCAAAAAGCTGTTTTCATGATTGCAATGCAACAGATTGCCATTATTTAGTTAGCTGGACCAGTGATTTGAATGATATCACATTTAACATAACAGCAAGGGTTACAGAAGGAAAGGCGTATGAGAGTTGGGTGGCATTGGGATTCTCACCTGATGGTTCTATGGTAAGATTATAGGTTAAAGAAATAACAATTGAAGATACCACAAATTGCAGCAAAAAAATAAAATCAATCTTGGGTAGCTAGGTTAACAGAATATTGATTCAAATAATGAATATGTACATTTTTAGGGTACAAAACGTTTATATCAATGGTGGATAGCTATATTTTCAAGGCCTCATCTGCAATTTTTTAATGATATATACTCAAATTTTCAAAATATTGCTGATTAATTAATAAGATTAAATGTTTAGGTTTAAGTTCACATTGCAAGATGAAAGCAATATCTACCCTTAAGTATTAAAGATACAATGGATAAGTGTTGATTCTTGAAAAAGAAACCATGAGCTTGGAGGGTGAATGTTTTGTTTTTCATGAATCAACACTTATCCATTGTGTCTCTAACTTAAATGATTGTGTTGATGTCTTTTAAGAATTAAAGCCTTTTCTTAATTAGGTGGTATTGTAAGTGAGTCTAAATAACCATGTTATTATGTTCTACGATGTATTAATAAATCTAAGTTCACAATTAATTGGTTATAGAAATACAAATATAACATTTCACGTCTGTCTTTAAATCATTATGCATCTGAATAGTATCAGTAATTTACAAAGTAAGACATATTCGAACTTATTTCTAAGTATATATAATAAGTATGTTACCGAAATTTTTAGCAAGAAACCGAATTCTAGTCACATCACAATTTACTCGCATAGGGATTTGCGAATAAACATTTGTAAAGATATGTAGTAAAACAGATGAAATCAATATTTATAAAACAAGCCCTGTGTGTCTGTTGTGCTGATGTGTATCATATATTCATTTATATATATAAATTAAACATCTAAATTGCAACCCATTTGTAGCCGAGAGGTTTCGTCGATGTGTTGATGTCAATCACACATAACAGATTTCAAGCAGGGTTGCAATTCCCAGTGAAGGCATTTAAAAATTACAAAAGGTACAGGTAAGTTTTTAAATTAATTTCATTAGTGAACAGAAATCAGTAAATTAGCTAATTCAAACTTAATTAAATTAGGCACACAAAGGAAACAATTGAATATAATTTGGTGAGTCCATTTCAGTGACATATTTAGGAAGCTTGATTCTAGAAAAAGACACCACAGTATATGAATAGGCTGACATCAAGGCAAATTATGGTTTAAGTGCTTACAATCACTTTGTCTTTTATGTTATAACAAAATGAAAAAGGATAACTTTACATGAAAATAAGCTTACAAATAAGGCTCACTAGATGGTCTTCAACAATGACTAAACATGCACCATATAAAGAGAACTTACAATCACGGATTAGCCTCATAAATGTTTAAAAATAATGAAGATAAAAATGAAATAAAACAAAACAAAGACATCCACTTACTTTGGAAATGACCTACAATGAAATAACCAGGTTTATGGCCAACCTTTTTTCAAGAATAGATAAAAAAAAACACAAACAAATCAGTCTCTAATTCATTTTAACAGGTATAAACAGGTGAATAAGTTTGTAGATTTTTTTATGAATCAGCAAAGGAATATTTGTTTTCTTTTATATTTTTAGCCCAAGTCAAGTTTTATAATGTGCAAGAATGGGAATGGAACATTTTATGGACAGTATGGATATTCCTCACAGTATACACAGTTTATTGGTATAGACAATGTAATTATGTATTGTATTCCACTTATTTTTGTATGCCCTGTCTGTGATAGGGGGTATTATGTTTTTCTGTTTGTCCATCCCTACCACCTCCTTTTGTTTTAAAATCTGTTTGTCCCTCTTCAGGATTAAGTTTTGGTTTAAAAAAGTTAACCATAAAGTTGTGGCCCTATCAACTTGATGAGACTAAGTATACATGTTCATCATGAAATGGTTTTTTCCTATTATATGCCAAATTGGGTTGTTGACCTGAATTTCAAGGTTAACTGATCAAGTTCAAGTTTTAATTTCAGGTTGTTTACCATGAAATTGTGGTCATTATAAAAGAAATATTCTCCATTTTCAAAAAAATATATTTTATTTACAGGTTACATTACAAATTTCTGACAGCTCAGTTAATGGTGATATAGTTCATTGTACAATTAAAAGACCATTACTATCTGACTCAGATAAAATCTTTAATTTAACTGTGGAGTGGCATATCTTGTTTGCCTATGGTGTAGTAACACTTTATCCTACTGGTTAGTATAATAATTTCTTATAAGAAAGCAAATTCAACATTGCATGTTTGTATTTAGTGATGGTCATGATGTATGTATAAATATAAATAACATGTTTTTCCTTTTTTACTTCCCCTCAGCGAAGCTGATATGATTTATGATGTGGGAAACAAAAGATTTCTTAAACAGCTCAGCTTTGGCTTAGGAACTATCAGATTACCTTGAGTAACACCTCTCAAGGAGTAAGGATTATTTTCTGATTTCAGTTAAAATTTTTAAGAACTAGGTAACATTGGCTAGAGGTATAGGGGGAGGGTTGAGATCTCACTAAACATGTTTAACCCCGCCACATTTTTTTACTCTTTGGTCGGGTTGTTGTCACTTTGACACATTCCCCATTTCCATTCTCTATTTTATATTGGTGCTTCCATACGCACACATATAGAAAATCTGACTAATCAGAAATGCTCAGAATGTCAAGATCTGCTTACTTTCCGTTACCACCAAAATTATCAGGTGACTTCCTTTAAGAGTAAAAAATGTCCTGAAATGACAATTTTTGTTATGCCTTGACAAAGACGAAAAAGCATGACTTAGCCTGCTGTTTCAGGTGGTGGCTGGAGAGTCAACAATTTATTAGTTTGTGATTTGGTCAAATTTAAGGGGAACCACTATAGTGGTAGATCAATAATATTTGGCATGCAGTTGCATTAGCATTGACACGTCTCATTTCCATGGGGATTTTTGGCCATGCCCCCTCATCATGGTTCATTGACTTTGTAATATTTTAAAAAAGCAATGTATTATATTTTTTTTTAGGTCAGTTTAAAGAGAACCACTTATGATAAGTCAATGGTATTTGATATACAGTTGTTTTAGCATTGGCATTTCTCATTTCCACAATGGTTCTTTCACCCTGCTCCTTCAGTCATGGTTCATTGATTTTGAATGCTTTGCATAGTTTCAATGTTAAGGTATTACCATTTAGATTTCAATATTTGCAGTATACTATAAAAATTACATAAAAACGAGGCATATTTGTGTTTCAACAGTTTATTGACTAATTTTTTAGTATTTGCCTATTATCTTAAAAACTATAATAGATAGATTGAAACTGTAATGGTAACAATGATCAGCAATAGAAGACCTGCAAAATTCCAATATGAACAAATACCAAATGATGAAAACCATTGATTGATTCTTTATAGGACTAAATATCTTCAAATGATGATTTTTTTTATGATTTTTGTTGAGCCTTCGACTTTTGTCGAAAAAGCGAGACATAGCGATCCTACATTCCGTCGTGGTCGGTGTTGTCGTCGTCGGCGGCGAATCAACTACAATCAATGCTTTATACAATGCAATGTTTAATTTTGACTTCCACTGATAAAACACAGATCAAGTTGAATTTGGGTAGTGTCACTTTAACTTTTATTGAGTTTTGCCCCTTTATAAATCGAAAGATTGCAAAATTTTTAGTTTCCATTCTGTAACTTAAGTTTGCCCCGACCAAACATTATAAACCTATACACAATATTCATTACCACAAAACTAAGATCAAGTACAAATTTTTTGTTTCCGTTTTCATACTATAGTTTGCCTCAACCAAATGTTATGAAACTTATACACAATGCTTACTTATTACTACATAATAAAGATTAAGTACGAAATTTGGTGACAACACTTTTACCATTCTTGAGTTATGTCCCTTTATAAACATAAAAATTGCTGAATTTTTCGTTTCCGTTCTCTAACTTTAGTTGGTCTCAACCAAATGTTATAAAACGTTTACACATCCTTTCTAGAGTTATGCGTGTTTACAAATAGAAAAATTGCTGAATTTTTAGTTTCTGTTCTCTACTTAAGTTAGCCTCAACCAAATGTTATGAGACTTGCACACAATGCTTATTACCACAAAACTCAGATCAAGTTCAAATTTGGGTAGCGTCACTTTTACTGTTGTTCAGTTATGTCCCTTTATAACTATAGGCCCAAGATCACAATTAATGACCCCGCTTTTCGTTGTCCACGAATATAGTTCCTTTTAATTAGAGTGTATTTTTTCTTAATTTTTTTTTTTTCCCTTCCTCACTCATTTCTTAGTTTTTTTTTGGGTGGAAATGAAAGAAGAAAGGTTAAATAAACTTTTGGATGTTGTATTTTAACTGATTTTGATATTGAAAGAGTGAGTAGGCCAGGTGCAAAAAGGTGATATTTACAGTTTTCGGAACATCTCTTGACTTGTCCATAGGGGTATGGATGTGTATTGGCTAAATTTGTAAGAGTCATTGGTTCAATCTTTCTGAATTTTGGATACATTTTTGGACTAGTACTATACATTACACACACAAAAGATTTGACAAAAATGCATGGTGCAATTTTTTTAATGAAACAAAACGTTATAAAGAACTAATAGAGGATTTAATTGTGGTCTGTGGCCTAGGAGGCCCAAGACCACAATTAATGACCCCGCTTTTCGTTGTCCACGAATATAGTTCCTTTTAATTAGAGTGTATTTTTTCTTAATTTTTTTTCTTTCCCTTCCTCACTCATTTCTTAGTTTTTTTTGGGTGGAAATGAAAGAAGAGAGGTTAAATAAACTTTTGGATGTTGTATTTTAACTGATTTTGATATGGAAAGAGTGAGTAGGCCAGGTGCAAAAAGATGATATTTACAGTTTTCGGAACATCTCTTGACTTGTCCATAGGGGTATGGATGTGTATTGGCTAAATTTGTAAGAGTCATTGGTTCAATCTTTCTGAATTTTGGATACATTTTTGGACTAGTACTATACATTACACACACAAAAGATTTGACAAAAATGCATGGTGCATTTTTTTTAATGAAACAAAACGTTATAAAGAACTAATAGAGGATTTAATTGTGGTCTGTGGCCTGATATGCAAGCGGGGGCATCATCTGTGTCCACATGTGGACACTATCCAAATTTATTATTAATTTTTTTCCTCATTTTTGTTGAGCCTGCGATTAACAGCAAAAGTAGGTGAGACACTGGGTTTTTATTTTTTGCTTATCTTGAAATCTATAGGCTGAAATTTTCAGAAGCAAGAATAATGACCAATACAAGATCTACAAAAATGCCAATATGACCATTGGATGACTTTTTATATGAGTTTTGCCCTTAAATGTTTTTAGCTCACTTGGCCCAAAGGGCCAAGTGAGCACTTCTCATCACTTGGCGTCCGTCGTCCGTCGTCGTCCGTTAACTTTTACAAAAATCTTCTCCTCTGAAACTACTGGGCCAAATTTAATCAAACTTGGCCACAATCATCATTAGGGTATCTAGTTTAAAAAATGTGTCCGATGACCCCGCCTGCCAACCAAGATGGCGGCCATGGCTAAAAATAGAACATAGGGGTAAAATGCAGTTTTTGGCTTATATCTCTGAAACCAAAGCATTTAGAGCAAATCTGACAAAGGGTAAAATTGTTTATCAGGTCAAGATATCTGCCCTGAAATTTTCAGATGAATCTGACAACCCGTTGTTGGGTTGCTGCCCCTGAATTGGTAATTTTAAGGAAATTTTGCCGTTTTTGGTTATTATCTTGAATATTATTATAGATAGAGATAAACTGTAAACAGCAATAATGTTCAGCAAAGTACAATCTACAAATAAGTCAACTTGACCAAAATGGTCAGTTGACCCCTTAAGGAGTTATTGCCCTTTATAGTCAATTTTTAACCATTTTTCATAAATTTTTGTAATCTTTTACAAAAATCTTCTCCTCTGAAACTACTAAGACAAATTTAACCAAACTTGTCCACAATCATCATTAGGGTATCTAGTTTAAAAAATGTGTCCGATGACTCTGCCAGCGAACCAAGATGGCCGACATGGCTAAAAAATAGTACATAGGGTAAAATGCAGTTTTTGGCTCATATCTCTGAAACTAAAGCATTTAGAGTAAATCTGATGAGGATAAAATTGTTCATTAGGTCAAGATCTATCTGCTGCGAAATTTTCAGACCAATCAGGCAACACGTTGTTGGGTTGCTGCCCCTGAATTGGTAATTTTAAGAAAATTTTGCAGCTTTTGGTTATTATCTTGAATATTATTATAGATAGAGATAAACTGTAAACAGCAATAATGTACAGCAAAGTTAGATCTACAAATAAGGCAACATGACCAAAATTGTCAATTGACCCCTTAAGGAGTTATTGCCCTTTATAGTCAATTTTTTACAATTTTCATAAATTTTGTAAATTTTTGTAAATTTTTACAAAGTATTTTCCACTGTAACTACCTGGCCAAGTTCATTATAGATAGAGATAATAGTAAGGAGCAAGAATGTTCAGTAAAGTAAGATCTACAAACACATCACCATCACCAAAACACAATTTTCTCATGAATCCATCTGTGTCCTTTGTTTAATATGCACATAGACCAAGGTGAGCGACACAGGCTCTTTAGAGCCTCTAGTTTTTTTATTTTGTTGAGTTATTGTCTAATAATTTAATTTTGGATGTAACACGTCTTCTGATTGGCTGAAAGTGTTTTGTCTATCAGCTCATAGACATAATTTTGTCATGTGAACGTGACGTCATCAACGTTTCTATCATGATTTACTACTTTTTAGAATTAAATTATTAGGAATGACTGTAATATTTTTTCTGCCTATTCGAAATAACATAAAAACTGTGGTGCACACTTTTAAATAACAGTGTGCACCACAATTTTTATGTTATTTCTTCACAGACTTATTACAGCCATTCCTTAATTATCTTGAAAAAACTATAACAGATATTTAGAAACAGTTAACAGTAAAAGTGATTAGCAATACAAGACCTACAAAATTGTCTTATGATGGAAACCATAGGAAGACTCTTTAATGACAACTATTTATTTTTTTTGTGTTTTCCCCATTATCTTTAATACTAAAATAGATTAGTAGAAACTTTAGGCAGCAAAATATTATCAGGAGTACAAGATATGATTTAAAACAGGTACTCTTAGGAGCCTCTTGTTTTCAAAATCATTTTGCTATTTACTTTATTTTAGAATTTAATGATAACAGATTTATACTATGCACATTAAGTGCATGAAAAAGAGAAACAAAAGAGGATAAAAAGACTTTTAATAAAAAGTAGACAATTTTTATTTTAATATCTGCTGTAGATTTTAAATGATTTAGGTTAATTCCATAGACTCATTTCATGGTTGTCCTACATCTTATATATGTCACAAACATAAAATTTATGTATGAAGTTAGCCTTATAATATTTTTTTCTATCGTTATAGGTGAACCAATGGCTAATTTGCATGACTTTAAGATTGGTAGTACCTACTTGACAGATTTTCAGAAAATATCAAACATACCAACCACAATAGCACCTTCCACAGACACTACAGCAGCAAATGTAAATATTATCTATAAAAAAATGGCAGAGGATACCAAATGAACAAAACTATAAGAAGAAGGAAAGCAAACAACACCATGGCCAAAAAGAAAAATAACATTCTTAAAAACACTACACAAAAAACTTAAAAAAGATCAACTTGAACTTGGGAATAAACTGTGGTGCTCCAGAAGGGTAAGGTCCTGCTCCAGTAGTGGCACCCATCATGTTGCTCATTACAAGTAAAAAATGGTGATAAATTTTGTTATGTGATGTCAAAATCATATAAGGAAAAGAGTTTTAAAGACTTGCAGCACCCATGAGGTGAATTGATACAGTTTCAGGGGAGATAACTATTAATGCAATAATAAACATTCAATGTCTGATTGTCACCAGTTTTGTTTGTAACTGTAAATTCAGAAATTATTGCGATGTTTTTATTAATGCGAATAATACTACTGGGTGAATATCGAAATAATATGGCATTTTGATAACTGAAACATAGACCTGTGTGCAGATTTTTTCGAAATCGCAAAAATCGCAATAGTTAAACTCACATTTTATCCATTCTTGAAAAATCGCAAAAATAAATGCACGCAATAATTTCTGAATTTAAATTATTACATTGCCTTGATGTAATCAGAAAGCGAGAATTATATTTTGAATATTAGAACATCTATAAAATTGACAAAAAAGTTGAAAAAGACAAGTTTTGAATTTTTTAAATGATATTGAAGACAAATATTTGTACTTGCACTGTGTATGTGAAATTTGGTACGAGTCTGAGACATTGTCATACTTTTCTAAAAGTTGGACATATGCTGCAAAATATAGAGCATCATTTTTAATGGAATATGTTGTCTTCATAAAAAGCATGGCAATACATACTTTTATACCATTGTATTTATTTCATAATCAGAATGAGTCAACTGATTTCAAAATATTTAAAAAATGACAATATAAGTTCTTCTAGAAAGATCAGAAGTTGTTTCTTACAACATATCTCAAAATCTGAAATATGGAAAATAAATGTGAAAATGTATCAACTCCCCTCAAGTCTACATTCTGCATATTTTATGAATTACATTTCTGTTTTTTAAAACTGCAAAAAATATCAGAAAGACAAGATGTACAAATAAGTTAAACAGGCCCAAAATCATGGTTAAGTCATTAGGGGTTGGTCGGTTTCTCAGATACTATAATCAGTAGATGAACTTTATTTGGTATGAATGATTGTAAGGTGTACATGTCAGACAGACAGGTTTCATATTACCTTTACCTCATTTTCATGTTTCATTGGTCAATGTTAAATGTTGGTGTTTTAGTCTGTTTTTCAGATACTACAACAATAGGCCACTATATTTAGTGTATGGAATGATTGTGAGGTGTACATGTCAGATTGGCAGGTTTCATATGACTGTGACCTCATTTTCATGTTTCATTGGTTAATGTTAAGTGTTGGTACATGTATTTTGGTCTGTTTTTCAGATACTATGAGCAATAGGCCAGCTATATTTGGTGTAAGGAGTGATTGTTAGTTGTACATGTCTGTCTGGCAGGTTTCATCTGGCCTTGACCTCATTTTAATGGTTCATTGGTCAATGTCAATTTTGATGGTTAGCTTTGTTTCTATAAGCAAAAGGTTAGCTATTTTTTGTGAATGGAATAATTGTAAGGTATTCATGTTGGTCTGACTTGACTTGATTTTCATGGATCATTGATACTGTAAAGTTTATGTGGTAATTTTAGTGTAAATCTTAAAGACTTACAGGTAAAATTAATCATGATGAGCGAAGCAGGCGAGACATTTCAGTGTGTGCACAGCCATTCTACTGTAGAGTTATTGTAACTTCATTTACAGATATTTTTCTTGTCAGTATATACACTTTATTACCTCTGGAAATTCTCAGTTTGTTGTTTTAATTTAGCTTATAGTTTTGAAAAACAATATAGTTAATAGTAAGACATAAAATTACCTTTACATAAATTTCAGTCTCCAGATAAGATAACACCTGATCCAGAGTGTGGTAAAACTAAAGGATGTTTCCCAATATGTTCTGGTTCATCATGTTCATCACTGGTCACATGGCAAAAACATGGAGATTACATCCTTTTTGAGATAGCACAAGAAATTTCATTGAACACAGACAACAGATGGATAGCTGTAGGATTTTCTGGAAATCAGCAAATGGTATTTTACTTTTTAGTTATAAATTCTTTAAACAAAATAACTTAATGGCAATCAGTACAAAAACTACACATATCAAAAGCAAGGTACAGCAATTTTATTGCTGGTCTTCATCTCAAAGTCACAATGAGGCCTTCAACACTACCCAAAATGTTGAACGTCCATGCAAGCCTGTGATGGCCCATGGTATAAATTCACCCTTTCAACCAAGATCTTTTTCATTTAAATAAAAAAGGACAAAAAGTATATCTAAAGCCAGGCAAAGCAAACTTTATTAAAAACTTGCATTCAAAACAATTTCCAAAATTTTGTACAGCAAATTTTAATAACACAATATCTGTTTTTAATGCTAGTGCTAAAGGACTGACTACTGTGCCCTTGGTTCCCTCTAGGACTAACAGTCCACCAGCAGAGTAAGGTGTACTGTACATGTCTGTCTGGCAGGTTTAATCTCTCTTCTTGAACTCATTTTTATGGTTAGTTGGGCAACATTAAGTTTATGTGGTTAAGACTGTTTCTTAGGTACCATAGGCAGTATAACTATATTAGGGGGTTTGTAAGGTGTACATGTTCATCTGGAAGAGTTCATCTGACCCTGACCACATTAAGATGGGTCATTGGTAATGTTAAATATATGTAATTCTTGTAGTAATACCTTTATCTTAAAGACTTTCAACATAAATTGAATCATGATCAGTAAAACCAGAGAGACATTTCAGAGTTTGCTCTCTTGTTAAAGATTTCATAATGATTTATTCAAATTTAAGTAACCTTCATTCATTTTTTCCTATCATTTATTTCTTTTATAAGTAAAGGTAGTTTTACAGAATAATATATCATGAAGCTGATTGTTCAGAATGTATAGTTTGATTTTGTCTTACTAAATTTATGATAATTTCAGTATGTACAACACACTTCTCTAGAAAAATCTTCACCAAAAAGTTTAGACCTCAAAACCATCTTGAGACCATTTTTTTTCTATGGCATCTACTAAAACAGAATGTGTTGTGTTGTCATATTGTCATATTACAGATCAGATCAACAAGGAAATTTTCACAGTTTATACTTTCAACAGAATCAATATTGATGTAATGAATAGATGTGTTTTGCTGAATTATAAACATTCAGTTTTCCTTACAACTTGAAAAATAATTTTGTATGATTTCAGGCAGATACAAGTGTTATAATGTGCCAGCATAAGAATGGTAATGTTTCCTTTGATCTTGGATATAATGATGGATATAGCTTTCAATCTTTGGCTGAGGTATGTTTATTATTTATTAATAATGTATCTAATATTACTCTCCAGATATCATTTGGGCATTCAATTTCCTGTTGGTGTCAGGGAGTTTCAAATCTTCTGTATTAACCATTTTCATGGCAGCAAGTTTCAAATTTCCTTTAAAAAAAAAATTTCTGATAAACTCTGGGTTTAAATCTCCTCTGATAATCAATTTCCTGACAAGGAGTATCAAATCTCCTCCTCTTTGGATTTGGATGGGTGATGCCTGCATAGGAGGAGATGCTTACCCCGTGGACTGGTTTTGTTCCTTTTGTGAGTGCATGCCATTCCTTTAGTTTCTGTTTGTTACCTTGATTTGTTTTCTTAATTGACTAATGAGATTTGAATATAGGTAAACTAATGTTGCCTTATTTCACATTATTTCATTCAGTATTGTAGATTTTCTTGTAAAACTGACATATTATTGTCAAAATATAAAGTACCAAAGCTAATATATTCACTTATGAATGAGCTTCACGTCTGTTGTCTGTTACCTTTTACAAAAATCTTCTACTCTGAAATAACTTGGCCAGATTTAATGAAACATGGACACAATCATCATTGGGGTATCTAATTTGAAAATATGTGTCTGATCATGCTTGTCAACCAACATGGCCGCCATGGCTAAAAAAGAACATAGGGGTAAAATGCCAATTTTATCTATTATCTTGAAAATAGCTATAGATAGAGAAAATCTGACAGGGGCAAACATTTTCGGAATGTTGAGATCTACTTGTTGTCTATTTACATTAAAACTATCAGATGACTTCTTATATGAGTTGCCCTAAAATGACAATTTTTACCAACTTTTTGCGTTTTGCCTAATATCTTGAAAAAAATAATATATAGAGTGAAACTTTAAAAAGCAAAAATGATCAGCAAGACGAGATCTTCAATTAAGTCAACATTTCTGAAATAGAAGACTCTTTATTGAAGTTTTGCCCTTTAATGACAATTTTTACCGAGTTTTTGCCCTTGAATGACGATTTTTATCAATATTTTGCGTTTTTGCCAAATATGTCAACAAGGCCTAAATCGTCAGTCGACTCCTTTTTGGAGTGCTTGATTTTAATGACAATATTTACCCATTTTTATGCCTTTTTGTCTATTATCTTCAAAAGTATGAAAGATAGATAGACTCTATAAATAGCAAATATGATCAGCAAGGCAAGATCTTTAAGTAACTCAAATTTTGCCAAAATCATTAGTAGACACTTTATTAGAGTGGTTGCCCTTAGATAAAGATTTTTATGCCCCTGCGACAAAATGTTGAGGGGCCTATTAATCTACCCCTGTCCATCTGTTCTTCCGTCAAGATATAGATACATGATATGTCCAGCTATCTCCTCCAGTTTTTGAGCTGCAGCTTTAATATTTGGTAGGTTGTTTGTACACATTATAGAAGTGTGCATGTCCACAGGATTTTTATGCCCCACCTACCATAGTAGTTGGGGCATTATCTTTTCTGGTCTGTGCGTCCGTTCATTCATCCATTCGTCCGTTCGTCCATCCATCTGTCCCGCTTCAGGTTAAAGTTTTTGATCAAGGTAGTTTTTGATGAAGTTGAAGTCCAATCAACTTGAAACTTAGTACACATGTTCCCTATGATATGATCTTTCTAATTTTAATGCCAAATTAGAGTTTTGACCCCAATTTCACGGTCCACTGAACATAGAAAATGAGAGTGTGATGGGGCATCCGTGTACTATGGACACATTCTTGTTTTTTTATCAAATACTCTCAAAATGCCAGGTATGTGGACTTAGTCTTTTTTTTTTTGGACTATTAAGTCAGAAACAGGGGGGGGGGGGGGATGGGGGATGTTAGATATTTGCAAAAACTGGTAGTCGGACTTCATTTCCTTTTCACTTGCTACATAATTGAAAACATGGTTTGTACTACTACAGTTTAATGTCCCTAATGCAATAAATAAGATTTTTTAGTATCGTCAAATATTCAATCAATACCAGGAAGTTGAACTTTGTGACCACTGGAAAAAGAAAGTTGAACTTGTCTTGGTGACTACTAAAACTGAATAGTTGGACATTCAGTCCTGCAAGCAAGTGTAGACATTCAGAATAAAAATAAAAGATAGATCATCACACAAAGTGTTAGATTTATAATTTCTTATGATCAAGCCGGGGCATCATTTGTGTCTTACAGACGTACTTCAACATCACTGTTTGTCAAATCTAAAGTATGTGGAACTATATACTCATGCATATGGCAGAGCAAATTGGGGCATCGTCCATATATAGTTTTTTTACCTTTTTTTGAGTTTTGGGCAAAAACGAAAGAAGATAGAAACTGTAAATAGAAAAAATGATCAGCAATACAAGATTAACTAAAAAGGAATTTTTGTCATTAATTATATTCTAGTTAACAATGTTGGAGAGGATCCATTGTTGAAGATGCACATTGACCTAGATGAGTGACACAGGCTCTTTAGAGCCTCTAGTTTGTTCTCTTTGGCATTTTTTTTTTCTTTACAATTATAGTTATCACTTTGCATATAGCTTTCCCCACAATTCTTTGTGAAATGAAGCAAACCAATGTCTTGGTTAACTCTTGCCTAACACTTTAATTTTTGTCGAGCCTTCGACTTTTGTCGAAAAAGCGAGACATAGCGATCCTACATTCAGTCGGCGTTGTCGGCGGCGGCGTCCACAAATATTCACTCTGTGGTTAAAGTTTTTGAAATTTTAATAACTTTCTTAAACTATCCTGGATTTCTACCAAACTTGGACAGAAGCTTGATTATGATCATAAGATAATATTCAAAAGTAAATTTTGTAAAAAAAAAATTCCATTTTTTCCGTATTTTACTTATAAATGGACTTAGTTTTTCTGCCAGGAAACATGACATTCACTCTGTGGTTAAAGTTTTTGAAATTTTAATAACTTTCTTAAACTATCCTGGATTTCTACCAAATTTGGAAAGAAGCTTGTTTATGATCATAAGATAGTATCCAGAAGTAAATTTTGTAAAAAACAAAATTCCATTTTTTCCGTATTTTACTTATAAATGGACTTAGTTTTTCTGCCAGTTAACATTACATTCACTCTGTGGTTAAAGTTTTTAAAATTTTAACAACTTTCTTAAACTATCCTGGATTTGTACCAAACTTGAACAGAAGCTTGTTTATGATTAAAAGCTAGTATCTAGAATGAAATTTTGTTAAAATTTTGTTCCATTTTTTCCGTATTTTACTTATAAATGGACTTAGTTTTTCTGCCAGTTAACATTACATTCACTCTGTGGTTAAAGTTTTTAAAATTTTAACAACTTTCTTAAACTATCCTGGATTTGTACCAAACTTGAACAGAAGCTTGTTTATGATTAAAAGCTAGTATCTAGAATGAAATTTTGTTAAAATTTTGTTCCATTTTTTCCGTATTTTACTTATTAATGGACTTAGTTTTTCTTCCAGTTAACATTACATACAGTCTGCAGTTTAAGTTTTTAAAACATTTATTAGATTCATAAACTATCCTGGATTTTTACCAAACTTGGACAGAAGCTACTTACAATCAAAAGATAGTATAGAGAGGAATATTTTTATTAATTTTTTTTCCTTATTTTTGTTGAGCCTGCGATTAACAGCAAAAGTAGGCGAGACACTGGGTTCCGCGGAACCCTTACGAATTTTTTTATACATAATTCATAAATGAAACATTAAATATAAGGAAATCTTGTATTTAAAAATTGTTTGACAAAACTTCTCAGGTATCTCTCAAAGTAGTCACTCCCTATAAATAATGGATAAAAATATCCATTTTTGTCAAGCCTGCGACTTTTGTCACAGAAAGCTCGACATAGGGATAGTGATCCATATCGGTGGTGTTAACTAACTTCTTCAAAGCTTTATATTTTAGAAGGTGGAAGACCTGGATGCTTCATACTTTGTATATAGATGCCTTATGTTACGAAGTTTCCATCTCTCACATGTCCATTGTCCTTGACCTCATTTTAATGGTTCAGTGACTACTTGAAAATATTTGGTATATGGAATGATTGTAAGGTGTACATGTCCAACTGGTAGGTGTCATCTGACCTTGACCTCATTTTCATGGTTCAGTGGTCAAAGTTAAGTTTTAGAGTTTTGGTCTTTTTTTCTAATACTATATGCAATAGGTCAACTATATTTAGTATGTGTGTACCTTGCAAGGTCCTCATGCCCGTCAGACAATTTTCATTTGTCCTCCACCTCATTTCATGGATCAGTGAACAAGGTTAAGTTTTCGTGGTCAAGTCCATATATCAGATACTATAAGCAATAGGTTAACTATATTTGGTGTATGGAAATATTTTATGATGTGCATGTCAGTCTCGCAGGTTTTATGTGACCTTGACCTCATTTTCACAGTTCATTGCTCAGTGTTAAGTTTTTGTGTTTTGTTCTTTTTTCTTAAACTATAAGCAATAGTTCAACTATATTTGTTGTATGGAAGGATTGTAAGCTGTATATGTCTGTCTGGAAGGTATCATCTGACCTTGACCTCATTTTGGTGGTTCATTGGTCAATGTTAAGTTTTCATGGTTAAGTTTGTTTCTTAGATTCTATAAGCAAAAGGTCAACTATATTTAATGCATAGATTATATGTAAGGTGTACATGTCTGCCTGGCATGGTTCATCTGACCTTGACCTCATTTTCATGGTTCATTGGTCAATGTTTAGTTTTCTTTGTTAAGTCTGTATCTTCGAAACTTTGGCAAATAGCTATAGGTCAACTATATTTAGTGTATTGAATGATTGTCAGGTGTACATGTATTTCTCGTTTGCTTTATCTGACTTTGACCTCATTTTCTTGGATCATGTTAAGTTGATGTTATAGTTGTGGTAGCTTTATATTTAGGACTATCAACATAATATCAATGGTTAGTAAAGAAGGCGAGACATTTCAGCGTGTGCACTCTTGTTTAACTTATCCATGCACTTTTTCTTTTGTATGAAGGTGGACGTTGAATGCTGTTTTATGCCCCACCTAGGGGCATTATGTTTTTCGTTCTGTGCATCCGTTTGTCCGTCCGTTTCATCAGTCCATTCGTCTCTCTGTCCCGCATCAGGTTAAAGTTTTTGGTCAAGGTGGTTTTTTGATGAAGTTGAAGTCCAATCAACTTGAAACTTAGTACACATGTTCCCTGTGATATGATCTTTCTAATTTTAATGCCAGATTAGAGTTTTGACCCCAATTTCACGGTCAACTGAACATAGAAAATGATAGTGCGATGGGGCATCCGTGTACTATGGACACATTCTTGCTTTATGCTGAATTAAGTTGAGCATGATGCTCAAAATCATGTGGCAAAAAAAAAACAACATCCAATGTCCATAGAAATGATTAAAATTGAATTATAGTATTTGCTCAGTGTATTCTACTTCAAAATATACAGGAGATATATTAAATTATCTTTGTTTTATATTTGCATTTGTTGAATATTGGCATTGATAAAATGCTATATTAAAAACTTACTTTTACATTTGTTCTATAATCAGATGGCAATACTTATTTTTTTTGGCAGAATATGTCATCAAAAATGATTAGTAATGCATCACTTACTGTTTCTGGACAAATTATGAGATGTACTCTTCATCGAACAATGAGTTCAACTGATCCCAAAGTATTTGATCTGAACAATGAATGGTTCATTCTAATGGCAAATGGACCTATAAATGCAGGTAAGTTTTTTTATCTAATTTTTGTCGAGCCCGTGACTTCTGTCACAGAAAGCTCAACATAGGTGGCATTAACTAACTTCTTGAAAGCTTAATATTTCAGAAGGTAAAAGACCTGGATGCTTCATACTTTGTATATAGATGCCTTATGGTATGAAGTTTCTGTTTGTCATATGTCCATTGTCCTTGACCTCATTTTCATGGTTCAGTTACTACTTGAAAAAAAAATTCAGAATTTTTGTAATCTTAATTTTTCTCTTATTATGAGTAATAGGATAACTATATTTGGTATGTGAGTACCTTGCAAGGTCCTCATGCCTGTCGGACAGTTTTCACCTGACCTCGACCTCATTTCATGGATCAGTGAACAAGGTTAACTTTTTGTGGTCAAGTCCATATCTCAGATACTATAAGCAATAGGTCTACTATATTTGGTGTATGTAGTGATTGTAAGGTGTATATGTCCCAGTGGCAGGTGTCATCTGACCTTGACCTCATTTTTGTCGAGCCTGCGACTTTTGTCGCAGAAAGCTCTACATAGGGATAGTGATCTGGCGGCGGCGGTGGCGTTAGCTAACTTCTTAAAAGCTTTATATTTTAGAAGCTAGAAGACCTGGATGCTTCATACTTTGTATATAGATGCCTTATGTTACGAAGTTTCCGTCTGTCATATGTCCATTGTCCTTGACCTCATTTTCATGGTTCAGTGACTACTTGAAAAAAAAGTCAACATTTTTTGTAATGTTAATTTCTTTCTTATTATGAGTAATAGGATAACTATATTTAGTATGTGCGTACCTTGCAAGGTCCTCATGCCCTTCAGACAATTTTGATTTGACCTCGACCTCATTTCATAGATCAGTGAACAAGGTTAAGTTTTCGTGGTCAAGTCCATATATCAGATACTATAAGCAGTAGGTCTACTATATTTGGTATATGGAATGATTGTAAGGTGTACATGTCCAACTGGTAGGTGTCATCTGACCTTGACCTCATTTTCATGTTTCATTGGTCAAAATATAATTTCCATGGTTTGGTCTGTTTCTTTTATACTATAAGCAATAGGTTATCTATATTCGGTGTATGGAAGGATTGTATTAAAGGTGGACATGTATTTCCAGCTTGGTTTATCTGACCTTGACCTCATTTTCTTGGATCATAAATGTTAATGTGATACTGGTAGAAAAACTTTATATTTAGGACTATCAACATAAAATCAATGGTCAGTATGGTAAGCGAGACATTTCAGCGTGTGAACTCTTGTTTTTATATGGCTACAATAATTCTGTATTCCTTTGCGGTCAAGTATATTTTTTTTTATGGATGAAAGTATTTCAATGAAAAATTCAACAATTTGTAAGGATATCTTTATTAAAATATTCTAAAGGTTACTTTGTACATTTCTATGTTATAATAATACAGTGGCAATAAGTTTTCTGGTCTGTGCAACTGTTTGTCCATTTGTTTGTTCACCTGTTGGTCCATTCAATATCAGGTTACAGTTTTGGTTAAGGTTATTTCATCATGAATTTGAAAGATGTGAACTTTTTAAATTACATGCCATGACAATTTTGACCCATTTTCATGGTTTATTAAAATTGAAATTTTGTGATAGTGTGGAATCAGCTCATGTTAAGATTGAAGTTCTTGACTATGTTGTTACCATGAAGTTGTGGTCACAACAACTAGAAACTAAGTACACATGTTTATTTTGAGCAATTTTAAAACTATGTGTCAAATTACAGCTTTCACTCTGATTTCACAGTTCACTGATCATAGGAATGTGATAGTTCCAGAGGGGCATGGTGCCCTATCAACTAATGTTCCAGTTTCATTTTAATTTTGCAAAACATGTTTTTGACAGTAACATTTCTTTTTTGTTTATCATGATTGATATGACTCTCAATTCATCAGAGATCTCTAGTTATATTTCTTGTCATGCTGTTTGAACTTGAAGGTTTCTTGCTCTATATTTGCTATGTGATTTTGTTGTCCCCCAATGTGTTGCAGGGGACATAGAAATACAGGGCATCGGTCCGTCTGTCCATCTGTCCGTCCGTCTGGTCTTTTTAGCACTCTCACATGTACAATATTTCCCAGATTTTTATGAAACTTATATCATAGATTTATACCAACAATGTCTTGGACAAGGTTGAAAATCAGTGCCAATCTATTATTTTTAAATGAGTTATGCCCCTTGGAAACATTAATAATATGGAAAATTGCATCATTAGTGCTCTCATTTATACAATTCTTTCTAGATTTTTATGAAACTTATATCATAGGTTTATATTAGCAATGTCTTGGACGAGTTTGAAAATCAGTGCCAATCAATTATTTATAAAAGAGTTGTGCCCTTGGAAACATTAATAATATGGAAAATTGCTTGGTTAGCACTCTCACGTGTACAATTCTTGCCAGATTTTATGAAACTTATTTCATAGGTTTATATCAGCAATGTGTTGGACAAGTTCGAAAATCAATTATTTTCAAAAGAGTTATGCCCCTTGGAGACATTAATTATATGGAAAATTGCATCGTTAGCCCTCTCATGAGTACAATTCTTGCCAGAATTTTATGATACTTACATCATAGGTTTATATCAGCAATGTCTTTGACGAGTTCGAAAATCAGAGACCATCAATTTTTTTTAAAGAGTTATGCCCTTAGAAATATTAATTATATTGAAAATTGCATTGTTAGCGCTCTCATGGGTACAATCCTTGCCAGATTTTTATGAAATTTATATTAAAGGTTTATATCATCAATGTCTCGGACACTTTCGAAAATCTTTGCTGATCAATTATTTTTAAAAGAGTTATGCTTCTTGGAAATATTGATTATATGGAAAATTGTATCGTTAGTGCTCTCATGGGTGCAATTCTTGCCAAAATTTTATGAAACTTATATCATAGGTTTATATCAGCAATCTCAGATAAGATTGAAAATCAATGCCAATCTAATATTTTTTAAAGAGGTATTCCCTTTGGAAATATTAATTATATGGAAAATTGCATTGTAATTGCTCTCATGTTTACAATTTTTGCCAAATTTGTATCAAATTTATATGAAATGTTTATATAAGCAATGTTTCGGACAAGTCGAAAATCAGTGCCAATCAAATATTTGTAAAGGTGTTAAGCCCCATGGAAATGTTAATTATATTAGAAATTGCATTGTATTTGCTCTCAATATAAAAACAAGGAGATGAGGTATGATTGCCAATGAGACAACTATCCACCAAAGTTCAAATAAAGTGGATGTAAGCAATTATAGGCAACCGTACAGCCTTCAACAGTGAGAAAAGCCTATAACGTATAGTGGGCTATAAAAGGCCACGACATGAAAAATATGAATCAATTCAATTGAGAAAACTAATGGCCTAATTTGTAACAAAATAATTAACGAAAAACAAATGTGACAGACATGAACCAACGCCAACCACTAAACTACAGGCTCCTGATTTATGACAGGCACATAAAGAATGTGGCTGGGTTCAACATGTTTGTGAGCGTTCAACCCTCCCCCTAACCTGGGACAATGGTGTAACAGCACAACGAAGGAACAAACTATAAAAATCAGTGGAAAAGGCTTAATTCATCAGACATAAAGACAGGCCAGATGTGGCAGGGTATTTATCCATCCCTCATCCCTAACAACAAAAAGGACACCTTCATTTCTCTAAGATATTTGTAAAAAGTTTAAAAGAACAAAAAAATAGTTTTTATTTAGTTATTTCCCTTGGATAGATAAAATATGTGCAATGTGGGGGACATTGGAACTGTGTTCTTTTATTTTTTTGATAATACACAATTTTTGCAACAATGATGATGAATTCTACAAATGTGTATTTTTAGGTATTCCAGGTCATCACGAGGTGGAACCAATATCAACTTCATCTAAAGAAAACTTCATAAACATAACTACAGTTACCACTGCTGGACCAACCACCAGTCCTGAGTCAACAATTCCATCTACACAAGTAACAACAAATATAAATAATATCTAGTATCAGTAGTCTATTGTCAATTAAAAATACTACAAAGAAAACCATACACATAACAAGGATTACTGGAACTATTTTAAAATATTGGACAGTACAATAGACCAAAGCAACCACCTCATACCTTAAAATAACAACAATGAACAATGCTTGCTCCAGATAGCCTAACTTGGTACTGGGACAAATTGTATTAACCATTTCATTTCTGCATATCATTTGAATTTGGTTTTCGTCAAGAGAAAATATGGAATGTGTTGAATAATGGTACTTGTTGAAACCCAAGTTGCTTTGATTGAAATGAAGTAAATTTAGATAAAATCACCTGACTCAGACTGATTCACTTAAGAAATCTTATAAATCTTTCAATAGCTTTAGCTAACACTGAACTTATCAACTACAAGAAATTTGGTGAGCACATACATACAGATCTGTCAACTTTTCTGCTTTATAGGGGATATCCGCCTTGAGAGGTGTTGACCTGACCCTTATAAAACTCAATTATTATACCCCCACTTTAAAAAAGTTGGGGTATACTGTTTTACCTCTGTCTGTCCATCCATCAGTCAGTCCGTCAGTCCGTCCTTCCGTCCCATGAATATTTTTCGTCACATCTTTTTCCGGAACTACAATACAAGGATTTTTGAAATTTGGTTTCAGGGTTTATATATGAGTCAGCTATACCGTGTGATGCGTTTTCAGATTCATCACTCAACAACTTCCTGTTTACCGAACACTTGTATCATTTTACACATGATAGCCAAGTTGAAAATTTTCATCACATTTTTCTCAGGAACTACAATACAAGGATTTCTGAAATTTGGTTTCAGGGTTTATATAAGTCAGCTATACTTTGTGATGCGTTTTCAGATTCATCACTCAACAACTTCTTGTTAACCTTATACTTTTAGCGGGGCGGGGGTATCATTAGTGAGCAGTAGCTCACAGATTCACTTATTTAGACTAAATACTTTAAAAAAAAGGCATTCAGAATTGTAAAAAAATTAATTTAAATGTATGTATACTCATTCAAAACAATTGATGTTCTAATTAAGTACACTAATGACATGTAAAGGTATGGATTAGGTCCTCTTGTGATTAAAATCCCCAGTGGAAATTTTTAAAAGTTGGCAGGTATGTAACATATTTTAATTTGTTTTTAAAAATGTTCAAATTGTTAGGGGGAGGGTTGGGATCCCGCTAACATGTTTAACCCCGCCACATTCTGTATGTATGTGCCTGTCCCAAGTCAGGAGCCTGTAATTGAGTGGTTGTGGTGTGTTTATGTGTTACATATTTGTTTTTCGTTCATTTTTTGTACATAAATTAGGCCATTAGTTTTCTCGTTTGAATTGTATTACATTGTCATTTCGGGGCCTTTTATAGCTGACTGTGCGGTATGGGCTTTGCTCATTGTTGAAGGCTGTACAGTGACCTGTAGTTGTTAATTTCGGTGTCATTTGGTCTCTTGTGGAGAGTTGTCTCATTGGCAATCATACCACATCTTCTTTTTTATATTTTATTCATAATGGCCATACAAAACACAGATATTTATTTATATTAATTCCTATTTTCACAGCATTATAGGTTTTCAGTTAAATTTTTGATCGTTTTTTTTTCAATGAACATCAAGCAACCACCCCTCCCCATCCCATCCCTCAGGCTCTTTGATTTTATTTGTTTCTAGTTTTTTACTATTCCAGGCTTGGCACATTGCATTTTTTGTAAATTTCCTTGTTGTTTACGTATTTCTAAATTTCAAATAAAAGATGAATCAATTTCCATGTTTTACACATGTCATAACATTCCCAGAGAAAATAATGTTAGTCCATTTGTTATTTTCCTTTGCGGTACCAAATGTCATCAAATGGAAATGACAGGTAAAGCTCTGGTTTGAAAAAGCTTGCATTTAAGTTGTAGGAACTTCCCGGTATTTGTTTAATTCACATGGTCAAACTCTTATGTGTATTCAAATCCTTCTGGAAAATGGAAATTTATTTTTAAATAGTTCAATTTTTTTTTTTTAACAATTTTACTTATTTCCATAAAATCAACATGCTATTCAGTGCTACATGTTGCTGTTGAAGGCATTTTGATACAAAATTGCAAATTCTTTGCTCAATTTTGCATCGAAGAACGTGCCTATCCAAAATGAATTAGTTTGTTTCCAAAAGACAATACACAATACCTTTACTTCCAATTAATTAACATAATTTGGGTTTTGGTTAACGATGTCCTTCTTATATGCTTTTGGTATAGCTAGATGCATGTACCCGAAATTTGCTACAATCTGTCAAAATTACAGTTTTTTATTATCTTCTGGTGTATATAATTAGGTGTTTTCTTTAGAATTAAGCTAAACACTGTAATAAAATAGAGAATGGAAACGGGGAATAAATGTGTTTATTTCTGATGCAAAAACCCTATGAGTGAATCAATATGAATTCCAAAAAATGCCATCTTTAATGACCTGACAACAGTATCGTAACTATATCCCATCTGAATAAGTCTGTTGAAAGGTTTGTAAGTACACATATTGTGCCATTATTATGTGAATTTAAGTAAAGACTGAACAACTACAGGTACTTTTTTCGGAGTATTGGTCAGATAAAAATAATTTGGTGTATTAAACTTTTACTCTTTTGCGGGTGTCAATATATTTTAAACTAGTATCTTTTCAGAAACAGATTAACTCTCAAATCGTTCTTTCTTGTTTATTTGACCTGTTGATACTAATTGTAATGCTTTTTTGTTATTTAATGTTATTCAGGTTATATCTGGTCTATATACCAGCTTTGATAAGTGTTGGGTATTACTTTAAATTTTCACTTCGTACTATGAACATCAATATTATTTATTTTGTAAAAATATTTCCTTTCTCTATTTGAACTGTACAGGTATACCTAACAACAAAATTATTTTCATTTACCTGTGTTTAAAGTAATTGCAAATGGCTGATATTTTTGTTCAAGCATATTGTTTTTCTTAAATTGTTTAACATTTCATAGCGGTATAACATGTTACTTTTATTATTCTTCCCTTAGTTTATTTATTTTGTATTTGCATTGTATCATAGGTCAAATTTATTTGTTCAGTGTATGTTCACTGGTGTTAATATGTCCTTTGATTGAGTTAAGCTATTTCAGTTGATATTTTATAGTGTGTCTTTCTATGTTGTGATGTTACACTATTGTTTCAGAAAAAGGGTGAATGTTTGGTACCATTAAAATGTTTAAACCTGCTGCATTTGTTTGCACCTGTCCTAAGTCAGGAATCTGATGTTCAGTAGTTGTCATTTGTTGATGTGGTTCATAAGTGTTTCTCCTTGGTGTTTTTTATATCGATTAGACCGTTGGTTTTCCCGTTTGAATGGTTTTACACTAGTAATTTTTGGGGCCCTTTATAGCTTGCTGTTCGGTGTGAGCCAAGGCTCCGTGTTGAAGACCGTACTTTGACCTATAATGGTTTACTTTTATAAATTTTGACTTGGATGGAGAGTTGTCTCATTGGCACTCATACCACATCTTCTTATATCTATCTATAAACCTGTTTTTTTGGGGACAAGCAAAAGTGATAATTAAAATGTTAAGATTTAAATATATAAGTAGCAGAAATCATTTACCCTTCTAGAGCACATGATTCCCAACCTGTTTTTACGCACCCTAAGTTTTCTCATTTCACAACTTTTCACTGTATAATTGCCCATTATTTGCTGTTGTTTGTTTTTCTTGCCTGTGTTTCACTTGTCTTTTGTTTCGAAACTTCATTGTCATGACTTGCTCTCCAAATTTCTTGTCATTCAGGATATTTTATAATGATAAGCTGTGCACAAAAACCTAAAAGTTATCGGGTACCGCTGCATATTCTTTAGTCATTACTGCAACTCTGCAAATTTAACAAAGACTAATAGGGGAAAATCAATGGTGGTATTACACCTATTATTGGAAGCTGCATATGCACCTTTGACCTTGTGTGTACTCTCATTTGTTAAAAATTCATGCCATTTAAGTGAAATATTACAAAAATGAAATATTCTGAGAGGATTGAGTATCAAAAACACATTTAATGAGAAAATTGCCTTGAAATAGGACTCTACAGTGAATATATGTAGACAGAGCAAGCCATACTCAGTGTTTTGGAGAACTTTTTCTGACTTTTTTTCCTTATTTCTTATAATTTGCTATAAAAGAAAACTTTTTCCTAAGTTATGCTTAAAAAAATACATAGTTATTAGTACATGAAATTATTTTTGAAGCAGTAACAACAAATTATTCACTAAAAGGGAAGCTTTTTATGTCCCTCTCTGGAATGCGGCGTAAATTTAAGTTTTACGTAAGGACTTATTGAAACCTCCATGGAGTCAGTAAACTTTTATATGGATAGTTCATTTAACTTCAATACTTCAATTACTCATTTATTATCACATTTTTTTCATAAATGAGTGAAAGTTACCCCAAAATTTTGATTTATTGGCCTAAAAAGTTGAAATTTTGAGGAAATGAGAGGTATAACTGGACCAAAAGGAGCCTTATAATGAAGACAAAGAGGTCCATTAGTGGTATTTATCAACCTAGAGTCATCTTTTGTATCATATTCAACTGTTTGTAGGCAGATGAGATCAATATTTGATCATTTATTGGTCCACACTATATTCTATCATGATGCAGCTTGATTTGGATTTTTCGAAGAAATTTTGCTGGAATCGCTGTAGATGTCGTCTTACATTATACTAGATTTTTCACAAATTATTGAACTGATTATGACAAAACTTGGCAGTAATGCTTGAAATAACCAGTATTACAAAGGAAAAAAATCAAATTCAGTTTATTCAACAAAAAATAAAATTGAGAATGGAAATGGGGAATATGTCAAAGAGACACCAACCCGACCAAAGAGCAGACAACAGCCGAAGGCCACCAATGGGTCTTCAATGCAGCGAGAAAATCCCACACCCGGAGGTGGTCCTCAGCTGGCCCCTAAAT